GAGAAGAAACTCATTGTTTGATAAACTGACTGTGGAACTATGAAAACTTCGCCTCCCCCAGCCCCACACCCCCCCAAAAAACAGTAAAGAGCAAAACTTATTCTCACTGCTGCTGGAAGAAGACACTCAGAGACATTGTTCCTGCTTGTCACCAAGTACTGAGCATGTTCAAAGAGATACAATCGCTAAATAATGGATTTAAGTAACGTAAATGAGTATTTTTAAATCATTGACTTTTTAGCAAAAATGCAAAATATGCATTTCCTTTGTATTACACTAATATTAAATGCAGATATATACTTATGTATGCACTAAATATTAGTTATAACTTTTTTCTGCGGTTTCCAAAATATCTGGTAAGAATAAATTTCTGTTAACACACAAAGGACATCCATGATTAATTCAATCAGTTGTAATCTGAGGAAGTCCTCAAGTGTCTCTTTCATTAGTAAATATATTAAAGTACGAATGCAATGTGAGACCATCAATCCCTTCATCATAGACGAATCTTCATTTAGTCAAAGTAATTTCAAAGATAATTCTTTGGAGCAGGTGCTGAAACAATTTTATTGGAAGTGCCCTTGTAATAGCAATCAATTACTAAGTAAGTAACAAAAGTCCATTATGATTTATTTTTAAAAAGTCCATTTATGATCCCCAGACAAAGCTGGTACAAAGCAGAAATGACCAAAACACCATCCGTCTCCAGGGAACACACACATACAATTCACATACAAATATCACATCTAAAGAATAAGATGTTACATATGATTTAGTGAAGCTTCCGGGATTATACTGATCTGTTATTTTAAAAACAAGCATGCTGAGATATGAAGAGGAAAAATAATAATGCAGATAATTTCAGGATACCATCCCAGTTTCAAGACATTAAAAGGTGTAAAAAAATTAATCTTAAAAACATGCGGGCCCGGCGCAATGGCACAGTGGCTAAGGTCCTCACCTTGCACGCCCGGGATCCCATATGGGCGCCACTTCTATCCCGGCAGCCCCGCTTCCCATCTAGCTCCCTGCCTGTGGCCTGGGAAAGCAGTCAAGGACGGCCCAAAGCTTTGGGACCCTGGACCCATGTGGGAGACCCGGAAGAGGCTCCTGGCTTCAGATCGGCATAGTATCAGCCGTTGCGCTCACTTGGGGAGTGAATCATCGGACGGAAGATCTTCCTCTCTGTCTCTCCTCTCTGTATATCTGCCTTTCCAATAAAAATAAAAATAAATCTTTAAAAAAAAACATGCATGCTTGGTGCATAAGTAAAAGGGAAACTTTACACATAATATTCTTTTTCCAGTTTTATTTCTCAGAGATGTTTGTGTTCTACTCAATTAATCTTACCACCCGATAATAGGCTAACCTGGTCTTAGCACTAATTTAAATTACGTCACAGATTATTAGAAATCTTACTAATATATACTACTAAGGTGCTAATTGTTTAATTTGATAGTAGATGTGGAAGAACAGTTTAAAGTGGATTGGAATCAGGCCCGGCGCGGTGGCTCAGCGGCTAAAGTCCTTGCCTTGAATGCGCCAGGATCCCATATGGATACCAGTTCTAATCCCAGCAGCCCCACTTCCCATCCAGCTCCCTGCTTGTGGCCTGGGAAGCAGTTAAGGATAGCCCAAAGCCTTGGGACCCTGCACTCCCGTGGGAGACCTGAAGGAAGTTCCTGGCTCCTGGCTTTGGATCAGCACTGGCTGTTGAGCTCACTTGGGGAGTGAATCATCAGACGGAAGATCTGTCTCTCCTCTCTGTATATCTGACTTTGCAATAAGAATAAATAAATCTTAAAAAAAAATAAAATGAATAGGAATCACCTGGAAAGTTCTCCAATTAAGCAGCAAGCTTTTAAAACTCAGGATGCATCATTTATGGGAAGAAGAGAGAGTGAACCATGAAGAAACTGAAGGCACAGGGGCTCAAATGTAAATGTATAAAATTTCTTTATTCTTAAAAACAAGACCTAGCCGTTTAATTTTATAAGATGAATATGTAAGGACATGTTTTATAGTAAAAGTCCCAATGGTCCCAAAGTTGAAAAATGGTAAGGTCTCACCTACAGAAAAAAAAAATAGCTTCCAAAAAATGAAAAGCACACAAAATGAGACAAAACCCAATGAGTATTTGTTTTTATTCTTATAACTTTAAAAGATCAAATGATTTGATCTCCAAGTGTCCTGAAAACAAGTGGCTGGACAATCTTCAAACCTCAATTTTTCTGGGATTCTCTTAGCTTTAGAGATCCATGCAAAAAATAGAAATTTGCAATTCTCTTCTTGCTAGCCTCTGCGTATATTTCAAAAAGGGTGGGGATACCGTGAGTGTAAAAACTGGTTGACAGAAAGTTTTGGTGACTTCCGCCCACATTCATTCTCAGTTTATCCGCACTCCTGATGAAAGGCAAGCAAACAAAAACAAACCCAGAAGCCTGTGTGTGTGTGTGTGTGTGTGTGTGTGTGTGTGTGTGTGTACACAGAATGTGTGTACCACCAAGCAAATATGTGATCAAAATTTAAAAATGAGCAAACTCGGCAGTCAAGAAGTGTCACTGCAGTTGTAAAGTAGGTGAAATTTCAATCCCTTTGATGAAGACACCATCTTTCAACCAAGTTCTGACAGAAAACCTTTGGTTCCTGTTAGACACCCCCCCTTCCCCCCCGCCCAGTCAGCTGCTGGACTCCATCTGGAGGGATGGGAGCGCTCCCTCTCCATCATAGCTAAGCGTTCCCAGATCTCAAAGAAGCCCCGGGTTTCTGCAGAGTGCTCCACGTGCAGCTAAGTGTCCCAGCTCGGCAAAGGGCAGCTGCAAACGGATTTAAAATGGCAACGCGGACCAATCAGCGCAGTCCCGGCGAGGCACAATTGGCGTGCGCCTCCTCCCAGGCACAGCGGAACCTGGCGGTGCCTAAGGCGCAGTTCAGGTCTGCAAAGTAGGCGTTTGTATTCCAATGGTGGTCTGTATCTTTGAAAGAGAAATCTTTCCCCGGGTGAAAGTTTTTACTTTGGAATTCGTCCAAAATAATTTTGGGTGTGATGTATTAAAGTCTGAACTTAATGTTTTCAGAGTTTTGTGTTTTTCAAGGATGAAAAGAAGTACTTTTTAAAAAATGGACTCCACCCTGTAAAAACGGACCGTGGCCATCACGGTATTCACTTAACTAAGAAAACAGCCCAGGTTATAAAGTTAGGACGCAGGGGTAGCGGCGGGGGATGAAGAGCGGGGAGAAAGTTAAATGGAGCTAAATTCAAGGGCTGTTGGGCATTTCGTGCCGTTGTGATGTCAGCGGTCTCCCTGGCCCCCTTTACCCTGAGAGCGTTTTAACCTCGGTTGCACAGCGTCAGCTCGGAAGAGACTTCGTGTCGCCTGTAGACTTTCGCTGAGAAAGGAACTCTGCGCAGAGGCGGGCGCGCTCGGCGTTCCGTGTGCACATTGTGTGCACGTGTGCCTGTGTCTGTGTTTATGCATGACCTTCTGTGTTTGGGTACGCGCGTGTAGACGAGTGCACGCGTGTCCGTGTATCTGCGTCCGAGCCACTATGCCCGTGCTTGCACGTGTGGAAGTGTGTATCTTTGTGCGCGCCCGACTGTGCGCTCCTCAGGCAGAGCATCTCGCGGCTGCCGCGGGCTGTCAGAGGTCCCCCTCCTGCTGCCTGGCAGCCGCTTCCAAATCCCCGAGGGCCGGAACGCTGTGGTCAGGTCAGTTAGATGCTTCCTGCAAAGTGCTGGCTCCTCACTGTGGAGGCGCAGGTAAATGCCTAGCCCTCGAAGAAGCGTGGGTGTGGGACAGAGGCGTTCCCGCGCCTCCTCTGGATTACCGCCCCGCGGTGACCTCAGGCAGCCGGCGGGGCGAGGCCCGCGGCGGGCGGGCCCGGGATCCCCGGCCTGTCCCTTTAACCCCGCCGCCAGGCGGGAGCACGTGAGTCGGGCTCCGGGTGGCACCCGGGCGCCGCCGCCGCCGCCAAGGCAGTTGTATTTCGAACACTGTGTCTGGCCCACCGCCAGGCGCCTGGGCTCGGCGGTCCGCCTGTCCTCCTCCCTCCTCCTCATACTTTTCCTCCTGCGCAGCCCCCTCCCCTTTATCCGCCCACGATTAGAGGTGGGCACTCCCCCTGCCGCCCCCACCCCTCCCACCCCCCGGCCCCCGGCGAGCGCGCCCGCGCGCGCGCGCACACACACACACACACACACACACACACACACACACACACACACACTCATCCCGCTCGAATCCCAGGCCAGGGGCTCAGAAAACTTCCAGCCCCGGCCGCGCGCGCTTGCTGCAAAACGCAGCAGCGAGCAGCCGTCCCGCTCCGACTCTGGTGCTGCTGCCGCCGGCTCCCGCCACCCGAGGAGGCGCGGTGCCACCCACTGCTCTGTCCCTTGCTCATTCTTGGTACCCGAGCTGATCGCATCCTAATCTCCCCATCCTCCCTTTGCTGACTTCCCAGAGCGTACTCGCTCTCTCTCTCTCTCTCTCTCCCTCTCTCTCTCTCCCTCTCTCTCGGCGCGGAGGGGAAGAGGAGGAGGAATTCTTCCCCCGCCTAACATTTTAAGGGACACAATTCACTCCAAGTCTCTTTCCTCCCCACGCCGCTTCCCAAGTGTTCCTGGTGCCCTCACGTCCTGATCCCTACCCGAAAGAAGAGCCTCCCCCCGGCAAAGCTCAGATCTCTCTTCCCTTCTCCTCGGCTCCCCTCCTCCTCCTCCTCGCTACCTCCACCTCCGCCACCACCTCCACCTCCGGCACCCACCCACCGCCGCCGGCAGCGCCTCCTCTTCTCCTCCTCCTCCCCTCTTCTCTCTCTTTTTGGCAGCCGCTGGACGTCCGGTGTTGATGGTGGCAGCGGCGGCAGCCTAAGCCACAGCAGCCCTCTCAGCGCGCCCCAGCCGTGCCCGCAAGCGCCCGCTCCTCCAACCCTCCACCCCGGGTCTCCGAAAGGTGCCGGGCATCTTCGGGCGGCCGAGGCGCAGCGCCTGCAGCGGCGGTAGCGGCGGCGGCGGCGGGACGCAGGATGAGCGCACGCGGGGAAGGCGCCGGGCAGCCGTCCACTTCAGCCCAGGGACAACCTGCCGCCCCGACGCCTCAGAAGAGAGGACGCGGCCGACCCAGGAAGCAACAGCAAGTCAGTACGCGGGCGCCGCGGGAAGCGCCGGCCCACGCCGGCTTCCTTCCCCCCGCCAGTCTTCCCAGTCGGGGCCCCGCGAAGCGTGGGGAGGGGGGCCACCCAAGCGCGGGAACCCAGTGACCGCGGCCCCGGATCCCTAAGGGGCGGCCGGCTGAGTCCACCCCCTCCTAGCCCGGGGAGGCGCAGCCGAGCCACCGGGCGCCCGCGTACCTAGCCTAGGCGCGGGGAGCCGCGGCGGGCCTCTGAGGGAGGCGGGAGGTGGGGTCGGGCTCCGTGCGCCCTCAGGCTTTCGCTATTGTGCGCCGCTCTCAGGAGCGCGCCGTCGTCGCTGGGTGACCGGAGGCGACCGGGGTCCCAAGGTCCGCGGCCCGCCAGCGCTTTTTGCAGCCGCTTTTGCAGTTGCTTTGGAGGAAGAAGGTGCCGAGGACAGGGGCGCAGGAGTCTGTCAGGGGCTGCTGGGGCTGGAGCCCTGGACACCCTCGCGCCTCTCCAGGGTGCTTTGCCGGCCGGAGGCTGGAGCGCCGCAGCCGCCCCCTTGGCGCCCTCTCTAAAACTCTTAGTGGCCCTAGATTCGCGCCCTCCCGACAAAGAACGCGTAGGGACCCGGGGCTGCCGGTTCCACTTAGGGCTTTTTTAAATGGGGCGCTGAGGCCGCCGGAGGTGGCCCGAAGAAAGGGGCCACCACAAAGCCCGGGGCCCCGCCAGACGGGATGAACTCGCCCCGCCGAGGGCATGTTGGACGGAGCGTCCCGGAGGGTACGAGGTGGTTGGATCACTTTCTAGCCCCGCACTCCGCGCGATTTTTGCCCCGCCTGAACTACGCACCTCAGAGCTGCAGACAGTAAATATTCTCTAGGGCGAGTGGCTGGGGGTTGGGAGGGACAATCTAGGGGCTCCCGGGACCCCGCGGAGTAGAGGGTTTTGTCTGCGGATGCAACCAATTAAGCGTGCAGCCGGCGCTTGCAGAGCCCAGGGTTCAGGGTTTTGTTCGCTGCAACTTCCAAGCCTCGGCGGGCAGAGTTGCAAGGAGACGTGTCTATTGAGAACATTTAAACTCCACTTCCTCGGGCTTTAAAACTTCTCCTTCGTCCTTTAGCCTTAAATCACTTCATTCTTGGTAAACAGACCAATTAGAAAATACGCCGAGTCCCGAAGCTGCCGAGAGCAAGGTGGGGACGCTGAACCGTGTTGGCTAGCCCGTGCGATTTAGGGAGAAAAAAAAAACTGAGAGGGTTGTACCTTTTTTGAAACCATCAAAGGAAACAAGCCGGTGTAGAGGCGCCGGAGTTTTCCCGCTCTGTCCCAGCGACACTTCATACCGTGTTGGGATCCTGGTTTACACCTCCCAAGAAGTCCCTGCCCTCCCCCTCGTTTCCCACCCGGAGCCCAGCTTTCTCTGAGGTTACTAATTGCACCCCCGCCCTTTATTCCTAAAGAAAATGCCAGGAGATCTGGAGGTGGCCTTTTTTCCCCCTTTTCTCCCTTTACCTTTGGGTGAAGGAGGAGTTCACAAAGAAAGAACTGGGTGTTTGGGCTGTGCGCGCTGGGGTTGTGCCCACAGGCGCTGGCCGCCGGTCAGAGACTTGCAAGGAAACTTCCCCCCAGATTTTGTAAATAGGATGCGAATCTGCAGTGAGAACGTTCATGCGTTTGAAGTTCATTAGTCTCATCTAATCACCGAATCTGAATAGATGATTCACTGGGTAATCATTGAAGGGTATGGGATATTAATCATCACATTCTCTTAACCACTGGGCTTTTTCCAACTGGGCAGAAGAGCCATTTCCAGTGTTGCTACACCTAATGGTTGCTTCTTTCTCCTCTCCTTCCTCCTCACCTCCCCCACCCCAGTCTGCTTTAGTTTTCTGCAGCTCACCCCCTAGAAGAGTTTTTTTTTCCTCAAAAGAACGTTTTGAATAAAATATGTTTATTTGTATCAAAAGATATTTAAATTTACGAAGGAGGCCATGCCTGACATCTCCAAAAGGAAGCGGAGAATGAATTGAAGCAATTATCTAGATAATTCAAGCAAAACCTCCCACCACAGTTTTTACCGTAATTATTTGGAAATTTTAGGGAGAATGGAGTTATTTTCAGCTGAAGAGTTTGGATAATTGCTCCAATATTTCACTTCGTGTATGTCGCTTGTGTCATAATCAACCCAGCCTGCAGGTCCTGAGGGTTGGTTAGAAGCCACCCTCTCCAAGTGGAAGATTGTTGAAATTGCTGCTGGGTTGCTTTCACATTTCTGTTTGAAATGCTGCTGGAATGCTGTTTTATAGAAATGCTTGTTACCGCCATGTGTTTCCAAATGAATAGCCTGTCAATTTGCTTATTGAAAATATATGACCTTCCAGAACATGCATCCTTTTCAGACTTTGTTACCACTTGAGGTCTGAAATGGAATCTAGTTTTCATGTGCAAAATAGTTTCCTCTTTGAACTTTTGATTTAAAGTGTAGTTACTTCCCCTCTCTGGAAACTGTGCCATTCCCATCCCTTTATGCTTGAACTGAAAGTGTTCTACCAACCACTCAATAGACAGAAAAATTAAGCCAAAGATTCAGGACCACTTTCTTTTAGACACCTTGCCACAACAGCGTCTTCTTTTTTTCTTACAATTAGGAGCCAACCTGTGAGCCCTCTCCTAAGAGACCCAGAGGAAGACCTAAAGGCAGCAAAAACAAGAGTCCTTCCAAAGCAGCTCAAAAGGTGGGATTTTTAAAGTCAAGCTCTCCTGATTTCATCCATGACTTACTGGCGCCCTCCTGTAATTTTCCCATTCTAAATCCACACCCAAGGAGCCGGCCCAACTGGGTCACCCAAGACTCATTTCCTACAGTTAACATTAGTTAGAAGAGAATTAACCTTTTTTTTTTTTTCTAAGCAGATGTTTAGCATACCAAGTTCATGGAGATGCTTAGAGTGTTTATTTGTAAAGTAAATACCAAATAATAAAATGAAGGTGTGGCTAAGGAGGTAAAGGGAAAATAACACAGTAGGTAAGAGTTATAAAATAGTTAAAAACAAACCCAAACTGTGAGTTTTGCTGGGGGATGACATTTTCGCCATTTCTTCTATAAAATAGTAGACACACGCTTACTTTATGCTTCTTTATATGACTGCTACACACCAAGTGCCTCTATTAAAGTGTAGTATTTTGCCAGAAAGATGCTACTGAAAAACAGTTGTCAATATTAAAACCTGAAAGGTGATTACTAAGAATATAATTTAATTTATAATAAACCTGCCATATAGTTTGTCATAATTTCGAAAAAGCCTTTCCATCAAATGAATACTCTGAATTGGACAATGAGAAGTTACTTTACAAAAAAAAAAAGCAAAATATTTGACTCACTTAATCTATAGTTTTGGGCAGGACAAGACACGGTCAAGTGTAAGGTTCAGTGTTTTCTTAGTACATTTTAAAGTATAGCTTAAAATAGCTGCATGTTGGTTGTTTTTGAGCTAGCCAAGAGTCAAACTTGGGTCAGTGCATCTATGTACAGAAGGGAAGACGAATACAAAAGTCACTTTTATGGTTTTATAAATAAGTTGGAAAAAAGTTTCTTCATTTTGTCTGTAGGCTTATGTAGAAGTAGAAAACAAAAGCTTGAAAATTAGCAGAAAACTTTGATATATCTTTTTAGTAGATTTTAGTACAGCATTTTACCATATTTGTTTAAGTGGACTGTATATTCTCATCTTTTTGGAATTAATGTTTTGGGTGATTTTTCCATGTAACTGTGGGCATTAATCATATTAAATATGATAGTTTACAGTGTGTAGTGCACTGCCATAGCAACTGGTGATACATATAAAATTATTTAGGAGGGAGCTATGAGCTCTTATCTGTTTTGTTTCCACAGTTTTGAATGGAGTTAAAGGAACAAACTTCCCATGCATTTAAACTGAAGTGCCATTCTCGGAGTTTAGATTTCATTGTGATTCACATTTAATCAACAGGCTTTTACGTAGCATTCGATAACCTTTTTATTAAAAAATGCCCATGGATAAGCTGGTATTCTTAATATGAATATTTTTCCTATTTTGTCCCAGTCTAACTGGTTTGTAAATTAATACAAAAGGACTAATTTTATCAAGTAGTTTTCTTTGTATTGCATAAGTATGCAGTTTATACAACTTAATTATCTGAGAAGATGGGAAAGAAATATCATGGTAGGTATGTAACAAACCCCAAAGCTGTGATACAGCTGCTTTGAAAAATTCATCATGTGGTATCCCCCAGGAAAAAAAAAGTCATTAAATCCTACCATAAGTCAATTACTTAAAAGTTAATACATAAAAGGTTACTCTCTAGTACTCATTGTATTACATTTTTTGAATAAGAGTTAGAAATGATCCCACCACATTCTCTTTATTTAAAAAAAAAATCACCGCTGGGCACAAATTCTGAAGGGGAAAAAGAATGGAAATCTTTTTTAAAGGACTTACGCCTGATTTAACCACCTACAACAAGACGTTATCTATTGCTCAGGAAGGTTTATTTTTACTGACTTTACTGAAAGGTGTTTACAAATGACCTCTTTCATCTTCTTGATGTACTGTTATAATTTCCAAAAGAGAAATAAGTTTTCTTTTACTCAAAGCAGCTCTCTGAAATCTCATTCTCCCATACACAATTGTTTCATACAATTTTGTTAGAAAAGTTCCTTTTCCAATAAAGTGAATAAATACATTTGCCATAACATGACTGTTATTTTTCTTCAGTTTTATAAATTACGCTTCATTTGGAGAGGATAATACTTTGCAAAATAATGAATGACATTGATGAATTGTTCATGGCATGTGTTAACAAAGTATTTCACATTCAAATCAGTGTTTATTGAGTATGCTACTACCCTATATTAACATGATGATTGAACATATACTTGTTTGTCAAGCATGTGTTGTATTCTCAAAATATAGTCTTTTAAATGCAAATATTTTAGAAATTGTTATATTGCTCATAATATGTAAGATAAACATGTCCTGCTAGACTGACCAGGATATGGGAAGTCTTCTGTAATTTAATAAATGGGGTATTTTCCGGAAAACTGAGATACATCACAATGAAAAATGTGTTTCAAAAACTGGTAAGTATGTGAGAGAAAAAAGAAAACTCTGTAAATGTATTGGGGATGTACCATCCACTGAAATCTTGATGATATTATGTGTTTAAAATTTCTTGCTGCTTACAAACTGTGTTTGGACTCTGTAACTGGCCTTGGGGCATTTAAAAACAAACCTGCTTGCTAGGAAATTAACAGTGTGAAATTTGACAATGCATGCAGAAAAGATAATTATTTCTCAGTCCACTTAGACTGCTTGCAAATCTGTTCCCAGGGAGGGTCATTATGTGGTAATTCTAACCATTCCTGAGAACACCAATCCTACTGTTGAAAATCTGTCCCTGAATTAGTTTCATATCATTGAATGAATAAAATTAATCATAGGCTGTTTTCCAAACTATATAACTTATCCAATGTATGTGTGTATGTTTAACTTCTTATGTATGTGTTTACCCTTTTAACTTGAGATATTTGTTTGACCAATTATCTCTCAATTCCCTGTTTGTTGTGTTTTTTTTCATGGCTGCGCTGGATGGAAATACTTTGTGTTTTGATGTCTCCCATGTTAAGGGAGAAGGAAGATACACTCTTCTTTATGAAATTGTTCAGGGTTTTGCTGTTCCTTTTTCTTCATCAGAAAGCACTGGAGGGAGCTGTCCCTAATTCTTCAGTGTTAATAATCATGTCACATCAGCCTTAAGTTTCAAGCCTATCTCATTCAAGTGTTGTTAGAAAATTTTTTCCTAAATTTTCATGAAATTTTGATCAAATGAGTATAGAAAAAAAGTCACATGCATGAGATAGCTTCATGTCATAGCTTTGCTTGACCTTCATTTGCGTGTGTGTGTGTGTGTAATGTCCAAACCCAGAGAACAAAATGCAGAATGAAAATCTTGTGTAGGTGAAGTATGTATATTTTCGATTCTGTGGTCAGAATATTTGCTTTCTGTTTTCAATTTGCCCTTAGAAGAAGGTCTGATATCAACTGGATCCTCTACAGACAGGGCTGTGCTCCTCCTACTCATGGGGCAGTCCTACAATGTAATTGGTTTTCAGTAAGATATTACTGCCAGCCATCACAAACAATTTAGGAAGAGGGGATGTGAGTTTTACTCATTCCTTCAGATGAATCAGAGCATAGCTGCTGAGTGAGGACAGAGTTTTCATTAGACTGTAGCAGTGTAGTTGGAGTGACCAAAGGCATGATGGAAGCTAAGTCAGGGATAGAAGATAACAGAAGTTTTACAGAGCCTATGGTTTCTACAGTACTAGTGGGATTCAACATGGTTTCTCTATGTTTAATGGGCATTTGAGTTCCATTGTGGAATTCAGGTCCCTTTTTGAGTATACAAATGAATTTAAGCATGTGGGATTAAGTAAAGCCCAACTGTTATCTCTTCATTGTCTTGATTCTTTTAGACTAACTTGGTTAAAATTTTGAGTTGTTTATTATTATAATTGTTGTGCTTAACTTTACTAGAGAATTACTAAGACTTACCCACTGACATCCGTGAATTCTTTCTGGTGAGTCATCATAGATTATGACCCCATATGGAAGAGTCAGATGCATATGAATTATTTTCTGGAGTAATTGGATTTCAGGAAACCCTAAAGTTCTAAGTCTCCAGAAACTATCATCTTCTGAACTCTTTCATCAAAAGTTCCTCATCGTTTTGACTGACCTCCATTTCTATCTCATTTCTATCTCAATGTCTCAAGGGATCATTTTGCTTAAGAGATTGAATATATGAGATTGCTATTGTATTACATTTCTGCTCTTTCTTAACAATAGATACTGAAGGATACTTTATTTCATTTAAATCTTCAAAACTGTCTTGTCTCATTAGCTGACTTTCTGTAGTTTCTACAGCACATTTTGAAACCACATTGCTAGACACAAGAGTAGAAACTGAATTTTATTATCCTAGATTTGGAAGATTTTAGTTACGATTTTTAAAAATTATGCCAACTAGGAGAGCAAGGTGAATAGAGACCTGACTACATTTTAAGACTGTGGTTGATTGTTATATTACTTTAATATACCGAACAGTTTTTTTTAAAGATTTATTTATTTTTTATCAGAAAAGCAGATATACAGAGAGGAGGAGAGACAGATAGGAAGGTTCACTCCCCAAGTGGCTGCAATGGCTGGAGCTGAACTGATCCAAAGCCAGGAGCCAAGAGCTTCTTTCGAGTCTCCCACACAGATGAAGGGTCCCAAGGCTTTGGGCTGTCCTTGATTGCTTTCCCAGGCCACAAGCAGGGAGTTGGATGGGAAGCTGGGCTGCCAGGATTAGAACTGGCACCCATATGGGATGCCGGTGAATTCAAGGTGAGGTCTTTAACCACTAGGCTATTGCGCCCAGCTTGAACAGTTTTTAATGGCATACTCTGCTAGATTTCAATTAGGAGTAGTAAAGACATTTTTTTAAAAAGAAAAAGATTTTATTTATTTTTACTGAAAAGGAAGATTTTTGTAGAGAGAGAAAAAGAGAGAAGAAGACACAGAGAGAGGTCTTCCATCCACTGTTTCACTCCCTATATGGCTGCAATGGCAGAAGCCATGTAGATCTTAAGTCAGGAGCCAGGAGCTCCCCCTTAAGCCCTACCCTATTCAGATATCTCATCTCCCATGTGGGA